TATAGTGAGCTTCATATGTCAGAACAAGATTTTAAAAGCTGATCTTTGTGATCAATATATTGCACTTCTGCTTCTCCATAGCAGCAGACTGACTCTGGGGATTATTCTCATAAATCTGTCATGCCTTAACATGTAAAGTGGTCCCAACTAGCTCAGTATTAATGACAACAGGTTGACTGTGAACTGATTTTAGAGTAGGATTAGATAGATGTGCAGCTGGTAACTCAGCTACCATCTGCTTCAGTCTGCTGTTCACTTTACTCTGAATCAGCTTGGCCTCAGGGCTCCTCCAGAAATTACAGGTAAAGTTAAAAGGCACATAGACTGGGTCTTGTAGCGAGCAGTAAACATCACCAAAGTGATAAATCCAAGACAAGTCTCCCATTGCAAAACAGGCAGGGGCTGGGAGCATATTTAACATCCAAGGATAAGGACTGCCTGATGCAGAAGCAGCTCCCCAAAAAACAGCCTGCCGAACTTGATGAGCATGGCAGTAAGGCAAAGTCTTAAAGTTGTGCTCTAAAAGCAGTGCAAGAAGTAATGAGATAGCTACTTTTCTCGCAGAGAGCCCCACCTATTGTCAAATGTAGGTACCGCTGGTAACAGCTCTTCTAAAGGAAAAAGTTGAGCTGAAGCTAAAAAAAATAATGCTGTTTTTCAGACTTCGGTTATAACGCGAATTGCCTAATATCATTATAGCCTTAGATAGCATTAGATTCCAAAACACATTGCTGCTTGCAAAAGCATGTGTAGTTTGTTCTGCACATTTAGCATGATTACCACTAACTTTAGGCAGGTCTTTACCTGCTACATGAATTGTGGCAGAGAACTATTTTAAACTGTGAGAACACATACTAGAGTATAAATACATATCTGGAGAAACTGACCCTTCAAATTATATTTTAAAATCATTAAATTGTTATTTTCGTGACTTACCAGTAAATCTACCCTCAGAGTAAAGTTGGCAAAGTAGGCAAAGTAATGACTGGTATGTATGGAAAAAAACAAAGTCTAATTCCTGTACCACTCCTTAATTTTAAGAAGGCATGACATACGTGCCTAGCACAAAAAGCACTGGACATATTTAAGACTTTTAAAAAAAATGGAGTAGAAAAGAGTATATATTTGAATAGGTGTTTTTAAGAAATTAATCACAGAGTTTTGGATGCAAAACAAAATAATTAGCCACTATTTGACAACTTTCATTTCTTAGAGAGTCTGCTAAAATGAGATGTCTCCAGTTCTCCTCACCCAAGTATGACAGGCTAAAATTCAGCATGGTTATGGCAGAGACCACAACAGATGGGTACAAACCCATTTTAGAATTTATGGATGATATTGCAGAACACTTGCTGCACTTTCTGCTGTATCACGCTAAATTCAAGCTTCATCTCGCTCTAATTCTGTGGCCTTTTTGCTTACACTGCAACATTAAATCATTTTCAGCAGCAATCAATGTTTTGGAAGGTACAAACAAAGCTTAGCTGGACACACAGACAGAAACTGGAATAGACAAGATCTCGAAGTCAATAGAGATTAAACACTATCCCACTGGGAAGCTTCCTTATGCTACCATAATAGGGAGGTCCTGCACTACAGCATGCAAATGGAAGGAATAGTAATGCAGCTGGTAATCAGGCAGTTTGCAGGGCCCATTTCCATTGGCACAACCTTCCCTGCATATTCTTACTCTGAAATTGCAAAGCCTTAAAGTTCACCAGCAGCATATTTACCGTGTACCTGTATCAGGAGTGCTGCTTGTCCTTACAGCCACTTCTTTTCTCCTGCTTTTGCTCACTGTATCTGCCCACACCAAAAGTGTCAGTGAGGCTGCAAAGAACCAAGTTGGGGGCATCCCCGAGCCAGGTGAAGCACACCAGTTTCCCTGTCTGGTAGCACAGATGGCTCTGATGATACACTATCGAATCCCAGAACTGTCTATAGCAACTTGTCCCAAAGCACCAAGTGCTCACAAGTACCTGGAGACAACTTACCATGACTTGACTCTGCAATTCCAGGCCCAATAGCATGGGAGGGCAACTCTACTGCTTGTCTCCCCCCATCCCTCAGAGTAAACCATTTGCTCAAACAGATACTCTAGCCATTCATAAAGCAGCATGTTAGGAGCATGGCACCTGTATCAATCAGACCTTTGAAGAGTCCTCCTCCTTACCAAAACAGAAATATACTTGTACAAAAGTATCTACTCTCTACTTTGAAGAGTTGTGTCTGGTCTTCAGTATAAAGAACAAGCTATTCCATTCTCAGCATCTGAACTGTTGGAGTACTTTTCCCTGTATCTCTGTGTCTTTGCTCTTTTTTCATCATCAGTAAAGATTTATGGGAAAAGAATCAGCAGAAATGTGAATCAGGTGCATTTATACAGACAGCCATTTCTAATCACTCTTGATTTAGAGAAGTGTGATATGCTAGTCACAGCCAGCAGAGAAGTATCTGAAGATGAACAGAACTGTCTGTTTTGGGTCCTGTAATGGTACAAAGAGTAATACAGCTCATCTATTTCTCATGCTGTTTAAAAAAGTGTGATAGTCATACAACCAGAAGTATTCAGTTCAGTGGAAATCATGTTTAAATTACTGGCAACTCTGCCAAATTATTCTAATGGTTCCATAATATAATTGAGCCATTAGGAAAAGAGAGATTTCCCAGCTGCCATGGTTCAGAAACTGGGTTGATTTATTTGTTGTTGTTGAATTAGACCTTAAGTAATTGCAAAGTAACAGCACAGCAGCCATTACAGAGGTCAAATTCCCTAGCACTCCAAAAAAATTCAGCCATCTCAGTCTGACTTAATTACATTTTAAAGGTGTTCAATTATTAAGTAATGTGATTTTTATGCAGTTCTGAAAAAGACAACCCATGACTATTTTTTCCCCTAGGAACACATAGAAATACCAATTCCAAAGTATTTTATTAAAGAAAACCGGAAAGCCCTGCAAGAGAGAGAGAAACTACTTGCTCAGATTTTAGTTAATGCAGGATTGCAAACACAGGTAAGTACCACATACATACACTATAACTTGTTACGCTCTTACCTCATAGCTAAACATGCCTGATCATGAGCTACTAAAGTGAAAAGTATTTTGACAGTAGTTAGAAACTAAAACCTTATTTATAGATAAGGCACAAACAGAAAGTACCACTGACATTTTGGTACTTACCAATGGCCAGTAACATCTTGAGTTGGAGCAAGACTGAAGTGAACTGACTCTGCTATGAGGGTAATTAAAAAGACAGTACTTTAGCCAAATTTAATATGTGCTTTGTTTACCTAGGTGGCTCTCATCACAATTAGTGCTACTGAAATCAAATTTGGCATAAATATTACAGAACCAGAATTTGAAACAGGCAAAACTCAGTTCACATCAGCCTAACTATTCATATCCAGTTGTTTATAGCCTCTAAAAAAATGCCTGCAGTCCCTTCTGGACAGCTAGAGCTGCAGCTGCAAGGAGGGGTAGAATTTGAGTTTTGGCAGAACAAAAGCCATTACAGAAAAGCACGTTTTAAGACTGTGCTGAATTTGATATACTTTTGACCTTTGGAAAATGGCATCCTGCCTACAAGCAGTGGTTGCTAACGCCCTGCAATAAACAACTGTGCCTGAATGTCTGGACAACTTAAATTTGTGGATGTTATAGCCAGGAGAGACAGTTCTGATCAGACCACTTAGTCAAACTGCTGCAGTGCCCTAACCATTGGACTCCACGCAGCAATTTTGCTGCTGGGGGATTCTCCTGCCCTCCTACACCCATGGGGGCATCAGTCCCACTAAGGAGCTGAGAGAGGTTCCCAGGAGATCAAACAGCACCAGTCTGAACACGGATGCCTGCACAGACAAAGCAGATACTCTGCTGGATTACTTTTATGGGTAGCTACAGTCCTCTTAGCATGTGCAGTAAATCTCTGGCCAAATTCTCCACACTTTTTAAGTAGTCTGATGTTAGGTTCTGTGGAGATCCTGTGTTTCAGCAAATTATACTGCAAGGCCTCTGTTTTCCCCAGTTCCACTCTCATCTCCCCATTTCACCATGGCATCAGTTATGGACAAGCCTGGTACAGGGCCAGCTCACTTGGAAACACTAGTCTCAGGCAGGGTCTGGGTCTCCCTTCACAGGATGCTTCAAGGAAAGCATAGGATTCAATAAACATGAATAAACCAATTAGCACAGTATGAGTACAGTGCCCTATGCTACATTTCCTGTATAGTTTGTCTGCTGGTTTCTCCCTCACATATCACCACTGGGATTGCTAAAGAGTTGTCAGCACTTTTGCATGCATCATAGCAAACATTATATACACTCAGGAAGTCCAGGCTGCCTGGTAACAGACTGCTGTATTCCCAAGTGTCTGTAGCAGAGCTGTTGCAAGCAGCCCAGTATATATTAAAAAGAGTTCAGCAAAGGTGCCTGTTCTGCAAAACATTTGTCCTCCTTTATTTCCTCCACAGAAAGCCCTGCTGAAAAGGTAGAATAGTGAGCTCTATACAATGTATGTAGAAGCATCAAACGTGAACTGTCTCCAATACAGGGATTACAGTCCAGGAAAGGACAATAATTCAGCCTTTCCATGGGGAGAATGAGGTGTTAGCAAGTTCTCAGGAAGTTCTCAGGAGTGAGAAGGGAGAGTCCCTCTCTCCAGCTGTATTGCTCTAATAGATTTTTTTCCCTAAGCCTCTTCTACCTGCTCTGGGCTAACCAGACCCGGGCTGACCCAGAACAGCCTGTCCCTTCATTCAGCAAGAGATCTAGGAGCCCAGCAGTACATCCGGAAACCCATCCCTTCAGAAATTAGGGGGGGAAAGGAGCACATTACTAAGGAAACTTCTTCCTTAGAAGTAAGGGAACTTCAATCAGGAGTCGAAAACAGTTGTAGGTTGTACCTCTAATACTCTGCTTTGTCCATTCCCTTTTGCCTGTGTTATTGAAGAAACCTGTCAAGTGCATGGATTTTGAAGAAGCCATTAGATTGATCCAGGTTGCAGAACGGGCTCGTCAAGGCCGTCTTCGAGCTACGTTCATGAAGCAAATCTACCTCGAAGAGAAGAGAGAAAGACAAGCTAAACTTCAGGGCAAGACAGGTCCAAATCCAGATGATGCTGCCACTTGCATTCAAAAGGTGAAATGTTTGTCAGAACAGTAATTTTGGTAGGAACAACTAACATTTTGTTCAGAAGGATAGCAATAGGATAAGAAACTGAAAGGATGCGTCTCAGGTGGTCTAATACGGTGAAATCCTTAAAATAATGAGACAAAGTTGTAGATGCGAGATCAATGGGAACAATTCTGCACTGGTAATGCAGGGTTGTTTTATAACTTACATGCTGTATTTCCATTCTGATTTTTATGACCTCTGTTATTCTTTCAAGAATTCAGTCCTTGTACTGTGGGCTCTAGGGAAAAAATTCATCCCAAATCCTAGAAGGGGGGGGGAAAAAAAAAAAAAAAAAAGAGGAGATCACTACTAACTTCCAAAGAAGGGCTGTACACAGAAATAGCTTGGTGCAAATCAGTCAGGCCTGGTGAGAATAGGAGTTCAAATGTAAACAGTTTTTCAACCTTGATGGTGCTGTGTTAACAAGCTAGATATATCAATGTGAGCGCAAATGGTTTCAAAAAAATATAGCAGATTGACAACCTGCTAAAGAGTAATAGTTTCAATTGTATGTTGTGCCTTTCCTTCCTCTATTTGTTTTTCCTGCATCTGCCACAGTAAAGGAAGCTGTAAACGAGACCTATTTACCTCATTAGAGTTTTGTTTACAATTCAGATTTGGCGTGGATATATCCAGTGCAAGAAAACAGAGAAAATTGGAGAAGAGGAAATGATATTTCTGGGGATGGTAAGTGATCGAGAATATAAAATACTACAACTCTGCTGTTCAGACTTCTATGATTTAACAGAAAATGAGAAATTAATTTCTCAAATTCTTTGTATTTTAAAGGGGCCTCTAAGGGATACAGAACTAAACTGGAATGATAGATGGCACAGAAGTAGGACAATTTGTCTTGTGCTGCATGCTCTTGTGCTATATATACATAGTCCAATGTATATGGCAGATGTGGAAACAGATGGTTCAGAATTTGCCCTGGGTTTTAGGGAATTTAACCTAGGCATGACAGAGCAAGAAAATTGTGTTAATCAGTTTACGACTCATAATGTGAAGGATACTTGAGCTGCCTTATTTCTGACACAGAATTAGAGAGCAGCAAAATCTTCTCCTTACACCCCTTTACAAGCCAGGATATGTATATCAAGAGTATGCAAAAGGCATGATATATGGTATATTAATATATTCAGAATTAAAACCTACCATCGGCTTCTCTTAAGAATTTGGATTATTTTCTTACCTAGAAATAGAACTACGCTTAGGCAATGAGTTTATGAAAATTAATTGCAGCTACAACATACATGTTACATGCATGTAATATCATTTAAGAACAACTTCAAAGCCATATCTTTAGGGAAAAAGGAACACGTAAGTTGACTATCAAGTTGAATGCAGAAAACACCTTGTGGATTATAATGTTTAACATCTTCTAGGTATTAATAGTAAATGTATGTAAGGTAAGTAAACAGAGCTTTGGGCAAGTTTGTTTCTATTCTAGACAAATTCCCAGAGATTTTCACTAGTACAGACCTAAGATGCTGAAAAGTTAGGATGCACTGAAACTAAACTAGAAATTACACCTTTGGCACAACAAGGGGTCATTTCCTATCAAATCCCTTGAGAGCTTTGGCAAGTCTTAAAACTAGAATCATGGAGAGGAAGTCTAAATCTGGCATCACTTATTGAAGGGTTCACAGCAAGGCACTCTTTTCATGGTGGCCAATCGTAGGCATAACCAGTAACTGGGATGTAAACAGCCATCTACTGTATTTTATGGGGAGAAAAATGTATGTGATCATAGGGATGAGCAGAATTCAAACACGTAGGGTCTGTTCGTTTCCTGAGCTTTAGGAACAAGAGAATTGATGTTTGCAACTCTGCACTCAGACCCATTACTCGAGTATAGAATCTAAGCAAGCAAGGAAAAACCAGATACTTCTAAATAAAAGAAATCTGGTCATCTTCCCAGTGTTTTCATTTGTGTTCCTCTTGCACTTTTCCTGCCACATTTCCTTCCATGGTGTCCAAAGGAAGCGAGCAGCAAGCAGGCATTGGTTCATGCTGATAGATAGGCAGTAAGCTCCAAAGGTCAGGTCCCTTTGATGTATGGTCATGTCAGCCTCCTAAAAAATGACCACAGATCTTCATGTGTAAATATGTTGAATTTGCTTTTCTAATGCTGCACGACTTAGATAAATTAGAAGACCTGGCCATCCATTACTCCAAGTCCATCCCAAAGGAGCCTTGGCTTTTACTGCAATAAATATAATTTCTCTTATAATTACAACTATTTTAAAAACAAGTATATAGCTTTCATTTAAAGAGTGCTTTGTAAAAGAGCTAATCACTTTGAAGTTCTGAATAATGCTTTTGTGGAAAACTCAGTCTTGTCAGCCTAAAAAAATATGAAAATATGAGCAAAGTCTAGGAATTGTTCAATCTTTGGCTTAGATTGGTGTGTCCTTCACAGGGTTATTTTCTTTAATGTCTACTTACTGCAGAAAAATTTATATGTGTTTTTTGGAATTTGATTTTATTTCTTCTTTTGCTTGATGACAGACTAGCAGACTATGTTCCAGAATTTTTTCCTGGCTCAAAGTAAAGCCTCATTATTATTATTATTTATTAAAGCTTAATTGCAGAAACAGCATGATTCCCCCAGCACATGTTTTTCTAAATCTCTGATAAATCACAATTTGTAATACTGGCTTGAGCTTGTAAAGAGAAGTCAGCATCAGTAAGACCACATATATCTTGATAACTGTATCCTGACCTGTTTTCCTGATGTTCCTCATGTTGCTGCTGCAGTACTGTTGACTACTAGTCCCAGCATTAACACCACAACCAATGTTCTGATGCTAGGTCTTGGGTTTAAGCCACATCCACCACACTGATGTTGCAAGAAAACACACACAGTTGTTTTAAACTTGCACATACAGGGGGAGTTTAGGAACAAGGAAGATGAGAAAAAAAATCCTTTCCTTCTAGGACCTCAGCCCAATGTTGGAGCTTTGAGGCTGGAGTGCTTCAAATGTCCCAGACCTTCCCTTGCTTGTGTTTTCAGTTAAGGGGTACAAGCAATCAATCTTTCTGTAGCCAAGCACTCTATTTGCTTAAGCAATTTATAAAACTGTGCCCAGGGTGCTTTGGACATGTACATCTGTAAAGGTCCTCTTGTTTCACAGGTATTATTGATTTACAGTTTTGCAGCCCTGACACTGTTTTATACCATGATTCCACCCCTCACCCAAAGGAAGTTAATGGCATAATATATGTTGATCTTGCATTTTCTCAGAGTATTTCCACTATTCTTCCTCCTTCCATATCCTTTTTCACATGAAAGGATCTATGTGGTCTTAAATAACTGTTCTCTCCCTCTTACCTCTTTTAGACATACCCTAATTTAGGCATGTTGTCCTGGGTAATAGTTTTATTTATATCTGAGAAAACAGTGTGCCAAACATTTCTTGTTCTCTGAATTCCTCAGATATATTTCATCCAGTCAGAAAAAAAAGTATTTCCCAGAATAGCTTCTTAGCAAACATTAGAGGCTGTGGCTAAATCAATATTATATGGAATTTAGCAAACTGCTAAATACAAAAGAAAGGAAAATATAAAATATTTCTGCAACTCCTGTAAGCAGGCAAAAAAGTTATAGCAGTGTTTACACACCCGGCTTGTTTTTATCAAGCAGAATAGTAAAACATCCTTTGTTTTACTTAAAGCCTCAGTAATGATTCACAGGTCACCACAGATAGCTTCATGCATTTTTACCATATATACATATAAATCTAAATAGTAAAAACTACTCTCTGTATTTTTGTTTTTTTAAACCTGCTTATTTTCTAAAGAGTAAGATGCTGGGAAACAAGAAACCTGCTAAACTATTGGGCTTTCATTGGCTAGAGTCACACTAAATTAAATCACTGCCATTCAGAGTCCAAAATATATTTCCCATTTTTAATAATGTTTTGACACTGAGCCCAGATATAATCTCCGAAATAAACATAACCAAATTTTTTAAACTTACATGGTCATAAATAAAAATGTGTGTGTTCTATTTCAAATTTTATATTTCCTTAATCTTTCTAATAAGTGTTGCATGCCAATATTTATTTATATATTACATAAATCCGTAAAACAGCCACTTTCAATATTTTTCTAACAAGGCCTCTTACCACAAAAGCTTTGTTTGAATGCATATGACAATTACTTTAATTGGCAAAGCCATTGAAGTGAATCATGTAGTAGGGGAGCTTTAATGAATGCAATACATTTTGCTTAGTGGGTCCTTTTGCCTAATTTAAGAATTCAGTCACATAATTGATGTGGCCATCACTGTTTGCGTAGTGTACAACCTATATGAGCAAATACTTCATCACTCAAGAGAGCTCTTTAAAATACATTCTTCCTGCAGCAGGGCAAAATACATTGAGAAAACAAGAAGGAACTAACATAGCTAATTCACATGTTAAACTTTAAACTCTGACCCAAGTTCTGTGTAATAGTTCAGTACAATAATAGTCATGAGCAAGGAAATGGACCCCAGTTGCTTGGACTGTGAGTTTCTGTATTATTGTAGTACTGAGTTAGCTGTCCGTGTATTCCTAAAGTACAAATACCAGTATTACTACCATTTAAAATGCTTTAAACACTTTAAACACTTCACTTAGAAAATAACATTCTCTGGTGAAGCAAACTGTCACATTGGAAACCAAGCAACTAAAGCAAAAACCTACACAACTGCTACATCTAAAGGTTACAGTTTTGGCAATACTATCTTTAGCAGAATATACACCAAAGACAACCCATAAAACCCATGCTGCTTCAGGTCAAAGAAAAGAAGCTGTCCTGAATTAAGTACCCAATCATAAAAGCTGCAGTAAATCTACCTTTCAGGCATAATATGGATGTTAGGCTAAAAACATGAAATAAAATGAAATGTATTTATTTCATTGAAAAGATGACTGTCTTTCCTTCTAAGTGTAGTCTTAATGGAACAATTGAAGAGCAGTTAGTTCCACAGCATGGGGCATCCTATATGTAGAACTGTAGCCTTAAGCCTGTTCAGCCAGCCTGCACACCTCTAAGTGTTTTATAATGAACACTAAAGCAGTGTGTGTTGGAAAGAGCTGTTGAGCTGACTAAGCAGAAAGGCAGACTTTTTAACCTAGGAAAGAGTGATCTATGCAATTGAGCTCCTAAAGTCTGAGAGAGAAAGCGTTAGGAGTTTTTCGTCACATTGGCTTACCTGGAACACGTGAGAATTCCTCCTTCCTTCTGCTGAAGGGTCTTTCATTTTTGTGAAACCTAAACTCTCTCTGGGGGATCAGGGGAGAAGAAAAAGAGAAGATCAAGCAGCTCTCTCATCAGCATACTTGTGACTGATGAATTGGAATAAAATTCTCTTTTAGACAAATGTCCATTTTGCCATATTAATTTAAGCAAGGATTTTAAAGACAAAGCCCATCAAGCATTAGATAAGCATTTTAAGTTAATGGACCATATAGTCCTATTTTCCCACAAACTCAGGAATCTTCATATTATGTCCTATTTTTACAGCAACATCAATTATTAATATGTATACTTTTGCTGACAGAGGACCACACTAAAAATGTGAGTTTCGTTATCCAGTTCTGGGTCATTAACTGTGAAAAGCTTGTAAATATAATGGTTTATTCACATGGGAAGCCTTCATTAAGATGCATTATTCTACAACTGATGTGGCAGCATTGCATTATCAAGTTCACTGTCTCCATCTAATATTTGCAATTTGTTTCTAAATGAGTTGCTGTTTGTAGGGCAAGTTAACAAATTTGAATTTCACATGGCCAAAGAAATTTCTTAAAGATGGAAAGATGCTTCTGCCCCCAAGGAAAAGCTATTTATTAGTGCTTTACTGTAGAATGCCTCCCTTTGATTCAGAAGTAGAAACATTAGCAGCACTAAGATAAGTGATGGTAAAAATAAATTGGCTTTTGTCTTCCTTAATGTGCGCATTAAGTATAGATAGCTATAAAAACAGCACTCATCATCTTGTCTCAGTATAACTCTTCGGAGCTCTGGAGCACACATGTGGGTACATGGAAAACTCATCTGTACTACCACAATTCACAGGTCCTCCCAAAGCTGTTTGCAACCATCCCCTTGCAGTGGCCGTCTGTCTTCACACTCCTCCTGCCATTTCCCTACCTATTTTCTCATATTTTTTCAGATTACCATAACCTTTTTGTTTTGGCTTCTTGCATTCCTCAAAACTCTGTTCCTTGACAGGAGAACACAAACCCTGCCAAGGCTCTTACACAGACTTCATCTCCCTGGCAAGGCCCAAGGGATCTTGAAAGAGAAATTCAAGATCCCAGTTTTGCAGATGCATCTCACTATTGAGGCAGGCTTTAGAATAGCTTGAATTCTGCAACTGGTGAGCTTTGCGATGACATTTTTATGAATAGGACAAAACCCTCTGTTTAAAAGAAAAAGTTTAACGTAGTTGCTTTCTTGATTGCAAAGCAAGAACAGGGAAACGCTGTTCTGTAATTTATATCACTCAAACTTTAAAAAGCCTTTTTAAGGTTTTGTCTCAAATGTTTCACAATATCCATTGTATAAGTCCTTTAGGAATTGTTCTTTCATCAGTTTGAATCTTTTGACAAAAGATTTTCCATGAAAACACATCATAAATGCACAAATAGTAGAAGACTGATAGCTAAAACAACTATCAATTTAAACTAATATCATCTGGAAGTCCTGTTGTATCTCCTCAATGGATAGACCTTCCACAACTGTTTGTGGTTATGTTGCTAAATTAATTTCATTTGAATTCAGGTTTACCTGGCATGATTTTTCACTGCTGTTCAACACTTGCCTCCTTCTCCCCCAGACCAGGAGCCAGCTTTCAATTCCTTACACGTGTCAGCCTCATCCAAACAAGGAACATTACGTATGTTCCACATTAGACTGCCATGAATCCTTCAGGACTCATTAATCACAACCACCTCTGCTCTTCATTTCATGCTTTCGCTCACCCATCTTAGCTGAAGCACATTCCTGCCAAAACTTTGCACTATAGGAAGAGCCCCTGTTTGGGAATCGCCTGTTCATTGCTAGGCTGACTTAAGAGGATATCATTTGTCATTCACGTGCATCTCTTGCTCGTAAAACCAGCTTGCCAGCCAGCACCAACTCCCACCAGATCAAGTGTCTTTTTGTACCATGTCATACTATCTTGCTGGCTCCTTTCCAACACCTACACTCTTCCCTCTGAGCCTGGCTCTATCCAGCCTCCTACATATGAGCCAGCTCCGCTTTCCCTGTGATAGAAGCAAACATCAGCAACAGCCTTTTCCTCCATGTAAATGAACCCTTTTCCACATGAGTAATGACTGCATCTTAGTCTATCTTCTACTCATAACAAGAAATTAATATGGTTAGAAGAAAAGATAGACTAAGGAGAGTATAGTCTTGTGGCTATTTCTTTTGCAAGTCTTCTCAGCAGAAGTGGTACCTGCTTGTTTTCATATTACCATGTTCAGAAATTAAAGCGAAAAACATGAAGAACAAGCTTAACAGTTTCTTTCTATAAGATATTCTATAAAGTTATATCTATACTACGTTCTTTGGGCTTTGCCTGCAGCTTACACACTAATATGAGCAGATTTACTAATAACTGCACAGAACAGAGACAGGTAGCTGCACAAATATTTGCTCAGGTCCTTGGCTGAGTTTTGCAGGTGGGGGCACCTTCTGTAGCTCTATAACTGTCTGAGCCAGCTGATTTAGAGCTACCTGGGGTGTGTCCACACCAGTTTTTACTTCTGGACTCATGTATAAACATAGTCTGTATTAGTGCACTAAGAGATAAGAATTTCCTACTTCTGGACTTGCTTATAGCCACAAGTTCTTGCAAGTTCACACAGTTCTCACCTTGCCTGGCAGCCTTGGCACTGATAATGAAAGATAGGCTGGTAGCAAATGCTCAGTGACTGGTAACTAATCACTGTAGGCTCCCTCAGGAGTCACTGGGGATCAGGTCAGAGCAGGAGCCAAGCAGAAGACAGATACAAGGATGACCAAGCAGCTCTTCCCTGCCTGCACCATCACACTGGCCATTCTGGGTCTCCATGCTGCTCCTCTCACACACTCAACTGCTTCCCTTGCAAGGGTCCTAGCACTCAGCTGCCCCCATGGTTGGCCAATTCACCTCATGCTGAGAGAAAGGGCAAAAAAAGGTAAAGGGGATTATTTTGCCCTTTTTAAAGGGCTGAAGTGGTTCACTGCAGGGTGAGGTGAGCCCCAGAGCCTGTGCAAGAAAAAAGACGAATCACCATCTAGCCCCAGGGTGGAGGTAAAGGTGCCGTGCCGTCCCCTTCCCTTGACTTGTCAAATTAATGGCTTTTTGACATCTCACAAGATCCCATCCTTAACCATTCAGGTTTCTCTTGTTGATTAGCCCATCTTTTCCCTCCCAGCACAGGTACCCTTCCTCAGGAGCCTGGTCCCAATAAGGCAGCAAGAACTTTGGGTCTGTGTCACACTGAGCTGGCTCAGTGTGACAGCTCAGAACATGCATCCCTTCTCACACCCAAAGGAGATGAGGCCTTCAGCATTCATCTACCATATCTTTGCTCATGGAAATACTCTTTTACTCTTGTGTGCGTTCCCGAATTTCTTTCTCGTATCACCTTTCTTCTCATGTTGTTGACAGGAACTGCTGAAAAATGGAGTTCTCAATAAAACAGGCCTTCCCACCCACCTTCCCCAGTGAGCATTGAGTTAGCAAATGTAGCAGATGGTCAGTGTGCTGTAATACAGTATCTGTTCACAGACTTGAGTGCAGTAGTATGCACAGACAGGAAAATCATGTTGACCCTGGCTAGAGCTCATAGCAGCCCTGGCACCAGTTACCTCTGGACAATAATACTCTGAGGGGAACTTCCAAGCAAACCGTTACTGTAGGAAAGCAGATAACTGGGTGGAAAAATGCCTAAGTGATTTTGTATCTAGATCATCAACTGGAAACCAGACCTCATGGATTCTCCTCAAGTTTCCAAATAAAGGACCATTGAGAGAATGGCATCATGTCCACTAGCGATGGCTATTCTAGGTTTCCTGTAACATTAAGAAAGGGCTCAGTGGGGCTCCAAGATGAAATGCAAGTATTTACTAGTAGTATTACACTCGAAAATACTTCTATAAAAACTGAGAAGTAAGTGCAGGTAACATCTCTGAGTGACATACCCAAAAGTGGAGCTTGCAGAACTGCTGCCTCCCAGAAGCAGAATGTTGTTCTTTCCTCCTGATTGGTTTCTCACCAGTGGCCTTGACCAGTTCCTTTACCATGGTGCAAGTCACACTGCAGATGCGAGGAAGGCAGTGAATTCCTTTCCTGAATGGGGCCTCTGCACTTACTTTGGATAGGGTGCAAACCCACAGTGTATGTTTTTAAACCAGATTCACTTGGCACTAGAGTTAGTCATTTTTGGAACCTGGTCCAAGCTTGGAAAAACACCAAATAATAGATTTTAAATATAAGCTGCCCAAACTTTTGATAGGAACTTTTCTTTGTCTTTGCAGGAGTCTTTTCAAACTCTCACTTAGAACACACTGAAATAATCACCAGAGCAAAGAGAATTTCAATCTAATTTAGTCTGAGATTTGCTTGTTTAGAAACAATTCCTATAGATTCAGATGTTACTTAAAGTCCTGGGCTTTTGTTCACATATGCTGCCACCTATATGCAAGATGGTCACTAAAGTTTGACCAGTACCATACATTGCATTACAAAAAGGGATTATCACCTTTTCTGTTTTCCATTCTCTAATTGATTCTTAATTTCAACATACTTGGCTTCGTACAATAGGGCCTTTCCCACCTATGGAAAATATATTTCTTCTAGAACTGCAAAATAAGTCAGAGCACAATCTATAAATTAATTTGTAAATACATTTGTTAGCTTACAAGTTTATAAAATATTGGGAACATCTTAACTTTATCAGCCATTGTAACCAATACAAATATTCAGACCACCCATACAGATAATGTTTTTCATGCTTCTGTATTTACATAGCAGAAAAACTTTCATTTTCACCTATCTTAATATACATATGTAAAATCAATCAGGAAGCAGAATCCATTTAAGACTTTAAACTGGCTTGCAGAATCATCTTGCCAAGATTATCAAGTCATGGGAAGCTTGTGCAGCTATAATTTTTATTATAATGTTTGGGGGGTTGTTTATTCTTTTATATATATAAATATTTATATATTTTGTTCCTCAAGGGAAGTTGATTTCCTAAGGGAATAGGGCCAGCTGCAACAAAATAGCAGGAAATCACTGACCAAACAGTGCATATAAAAATTAGGTGAACAAATTAAAAATAATACTGACTAATTAAGAACTATCAATAGGAAGTCCAAACATTTGAAAATTCAATTAGAAATCTCTGGCAGCCTCTGACACTGATAAAGTTGGCATTTGCTGAACAGCAGCTTTCTCACCTGTCTCATTGAGATCTCAGGATCCCACGCTGAAAGGTTGTTTTTGTACATTGCGATGATATTAATTAATGCTGAAACACTAACAATGGACCATTGTGTGTGTGTGTGTTTTTTTTTTTTTATGAGCTTCCTGCAAATAAAGTCAGACTTAAGCTCAGATTCACTGCGTATTGCTTTTCTGTCATTCATACCGGTTGTTCTGAACCAATTTCTCCCCTTGTCATTCTAGTGCCCACCTCCTCATTTCCAGACAGTAAGTACCTCGATGCTGCGTGCCAGGGAGGTGAATATCCTGCGAGGTGAGGTCCAGGAGAGACATGAGGAGGACTATCGGAAAGCCTTGGTACACACCAAAGACAGGCTGAAACAAACGGAGGGGCTCGACATCAAAGAAATTCTCCAGGATCAAATCCGCCAGTGTTTCATCGAGTGCCGGTAAGAGGAGATAAACACCTGCCCCTTTAAAAAGCCCTTTTGCTCCAGAGAGCCTATTCTACAATTCTTATGAAAGCAGCTTCCAGGCATTTACAGAGGTGGTCCCAATCCCCATTGGGAGCACCATCTGCAAGACTGAATTCCTGAGTGGCAGGATTCCCAATTGGAGGAACCTAGCAGGACGTAACACACCTTACATGGTCCAGCAAGTACCAGGGGTGCTCCTTGAAAGGCTGCTTATGGAATCAGGCCCATAGAGATTCAAGTGAAGACACACTCAGCTTCCACATTAGCCTGGGTTCTAGCTTGATAGCTATAACAAGAATACTTATATCTTAGGAACAGTTTTGTCCCTCGTCTGACTGCATAAAGCTTTGAGATATATAACGTGCTCTTCTCTTCTATGAGGCAGAAGGATAAATTTTTACTAGACATCATCTGGTAGAATCCACATCATCTCAGTGGTTGCTGCATTGCAGGTCCTCTAGCTGGTGTTATGCAGCAGTCTGCGTGAATCTTAAATATATTCATACAAGAGGGCAGACCTTGAAGTCACTCTCTCAAATCCAGCTTTACTTAGAACTGCTGCTGATCTCAGTGGAACTTTATGTCTCCATAGAGTTAGGCACATTCTTTCTTGCTTTAAACTAAGTGCTGACACCTGTAGCTGTCTCAGGAAGTTTACTTTAGCTGAAGTTAGAAACTGGCAACTTTTATACTGTAAAGCCATGTCCTAAAGAATACAGATTGCTTATATGATAGGGATTGCTTTTCCAGGATCTAGTCTGTGCATTGGGTTAGTATGTAAAAGTAAATTGAGAAACCAGGCCCCAAAGTCCCAGGATTTACCAGCCAAGTTTCACCTTCTCTGCATAAGATCACTTTGGTTTTTTTATGTATTGAACTGATCAGTAATGTTGCAGGGCTCACATTTGTCTTGTGCACCTATATCATGTCCATTAATCATTTAGTCAGTTTTTCAGCATGATAGACCTGCCTTTGGGGTGCAACTTCCAGTTAGAAACACAAAAGTGTTCTGATAAAATCCTGCTCTTAAAAGGATGCTTGTTCCCATTATTCCTTGACTACTTTATCTCTTTTCAGGTTTGCATACAATAGCTATCAGGTTTGCTATATAATAGCTATTATTCCTGGGGGAGAGGAAAACACCCAAAAACAAGAACCAATAAAAACAGCACATTGATAGGTTCTCTTTCTTGTACTTTTGTCTTTTAGCTAAATTCGAGGCTCTAATATATATACACATATTTTTACCGCATCTAGCAAGCCTTTAAAAAGATTTTCTGGATCTACAAAACCTAAGTTACTACAAGGCACTTCCTCAGTACTTAAATTAACCCTTTTCTTAAAGGGTTTCTTAAGCTCTCATTTCCTGTCTCTTCCCACAACTCCCAGTGCAATATGAGATACAGAAAGATCTTTATTTCCTTTGTTTGATATTACTATATTGAATAGTAATTCTCTAACACAGAATCATCATCTCTATTTGCTTGACTCTAGTGTGTGAGGAGAACTAGCTGAGATGTGAACCAATAGCAACTTTTCTGTAGCACAGAGAAAGCAGTGTCCCAGAGGATAAGGCTGAGCCACGAACCTCCTTAAAAAGGGTGGTTGAGGTAGGAAGTTAAGCCTATCCCATTAGGGCACAAACAGCAAAGCAGACCAGAAAGCCAAATCATTCCACCAAATGGCCATTTGCAGGACACTGAAGCCAACATTTAATCAAGGTCAGTCAAGAGGAACAGCTACACAGGCCCTTCATCAAAACCCTTGTTATCCAATTTATCAGCAAGCTCTGTCTCATGGAAGCTGCTCTGTATAAACTACTCTGAAGACCAAGTAAGGGTGGGAGGGTGTAATACCTAGGCCTTCTTATATGGCAGCACTCACAAGCTCAAAGGGAACCACATAGTTAAATTTAGATCCTGGGGTGCCCACAGACCCAACTTTAGATGAGACTATTACTTTACAGATCTGTAGAAAGGCATAGCCTGCATCCCAACACATAAATAGGCAGCTAAGCTTAAGTTAAAGACTACTAACTGTTCCATAAGCCAACTGATAGCAAAGGGACAGTGCCAGGCAACCACAGACCGTACTTCCTAATCCTGACTTGTTGCAGCCAGAAACAGAGTGCATGATCATATTCCCTATTATGCTCTTTCTAAATTAGGTGTTCCTCATCATCTCTCAAAGTCAATAAGGCACTTTTCAGCCAAGACTAGGCAGCTCTTATTGATAAAAGTCATTCCAATGATTTAGCAGCATGATAAATGAAATCCCACCCCAATGAAATCAGTGGGAGAGCTGCCATCAGCTGCAGCAAAGCCTGGACACCACCCAGGGCTTTAGTTCATTTGAATCTGCTTGAGTCATGCAGGAGTTTATGGGACTGAGACAAGTCCAAGCAAGCTGCCTGCCATCCTGCTCTTCATGGGAGGCCTCCATTTAACTACCCCAAGAACTTCCCCACTTGCACATTCATTGCCATACAAAATAGGTAAAAGAAATTGGCAGATATCTACATGTGGGAAGCACATGTGTCAGAGAGTCAAGCTTTCACATGGAGCATGTCAAAGACACTCAGGAATGCTAGCGGGAGCCGCATCCTGCTCCTGCCTGGCTCTCGTAACAGCGGCCCTAATCTGAAGTGTCAAGATTTACATTAATTATGACCTGCCAGGATATACTTTGTCTCTCCAATAAGTCTGCCTACAAAATCAACATCTAAATGCAGCTTATAAATAATTCTTTAACCAGGCTTTTTGACAGAGTTTACCATTTTCCATAGTCTGTTAAATAAACAGATAGCTAAAAGAGAACAAAGATTCTTTTGAATGAATTTTGCTGTATGCGCTAAAAAAATAAACCCAAGCTTATGCTTCCCTTCCACACTTTATCCTTCAATTGGAAAAGGATGTGATCGGAAATACAATTAGCAGGTGTCGTCTTTCAGCACAGCTGCTATCAAATTACAAAAACAATGAGCACATATCAAATTTCTCCACTTGTAAGAAGCAGGACCCCTATAAATATTTACCACTTTCTTTGCAAAAAGGAACAGGCATAGCTTCAGTCATTTCAGCTCCAAGACAGCTTCTTATAAAGACAAAAGTTCTAAAAAAGCAAAACAAAGTTAAACCCAAAGAAGTATATTAAATGAAAAAGTTCCAGTTGCTTATAGCAGTCCTACTGCAGAGAACACAAGGTTTTTAATGTGGCTTTACTTCATGACCCTGCTGTCCATCATTCTGTTTATCTGTGTTAACTTTTGCAAAGCTGCTCTTATTTGGCTAGCAGATTTACAAACAGCTTTCCAGATTGTTTTATCTGGTCCTCGTGCATCACGCTAGAAAAGATTTTAATTATTTCAAGCTTTCAAAAAACAAAAGCATCATGCAGGGTACCTACAAATCTAGCCATGTAATTTATGCATCTTATATGCAAATGATCAAAATTCAGTTGCTATGATTATACAGCTCTGACTTGCTCCCAGTTTTAGTCATGACTTACACAGAATCCACCCATTTCATTAACAAGTTTTATATTAAAATAGAACAATTAATTATATCAAGATATAGTTGAGATTCTAGTTTCCATTTCCAGTATTACACCAGACCAGACACTATTCTCTAATTTCGCATATGGGGTTTGGCACTGCATATGCCAAAAGTATCACCATTCTCTCCAGCCTTTACCCTACTATGTAGTACATAGCTGCAGTCCCCAAAATTACAAGTTCTCCTTGGATTCATCCCCACACAGCAAAAAAAAAAAAAAAAAAGGCAGACAGAAGATCCATTATTATGTAGAACAATATAGTACACTGTCTTTGTGCAAGAAAAGTCTTTTTATACAGAAATCAATATAAAGCATCAGAAATCAAGATGAGGTTTTTATTACAAGAGATAGCCTCCAGAGTCACAGGGGAGAGCATAACACACAGGCTTTGCTGTAATGTATCTTATGCCCTCTAGCTGTAACAAATTATGCTCTGAATTTCTTAGAGGATTTATATGCCTCTGCTCAATGCTCCGGGGAACATTTCATCAGTGGCATTGCTGACCTAATAACAGGGGATCTAAGTAATAGCAACTTTTATGTATGTTGTATGTTATTCCCACAGATTTGGGGATTGCTTTTCTGGAGGGAGGAGGAGGCAAGGGGTAAATGTGCTTTCATAATAGGTTTACACTTTACTGATTAGTTTTGAATGATCTTCTTGCTCTGCCTGCTGACTTGAGGACTGTCAGGAAAAGAATCAGCCAAGCTTCATGGCGAGTGAATGAGACTCCTTCTGAAGCAGGGGGTTCCTGCGCTTTATTTATTCATTTTGAACATTCCTGACAGCCAGCCCAGGCTTTGATGCAGAGGAAAGGAGAAAGAAATAGGAAGTGATCATGTTATATTTTCCCTTTTCACAAGATTGTTTTGTTGAGCTGAGTTTACTGCCAATAGGCTTGTTCACGGGACTCCCTAGGTAGCAGGGGGTGAGGGATGAAGAGGCAGGAGGAAGATGAATGGAGAAAAAGGTTTTGCACCAAAACCTCCACAGAATAGGGCAAGTATTCATTAGCATCAAGCACTGCCTGTATTGCATTTCACACTCTGTACACACTGCTCTTCATGAAGTTAATATTAACGTGTGAAAGTTGCCAAGCAATCCATCAGCAACTGAAGTCTTGCCAACAGGACAGAGACAGACTACACCTCACCACTGCCAAGCAGCAGCACCCCTCCTTCCTCACCCCGTGCTGCCTCAGCTCTGATTTGGAGGAGCTATTGCTGGAGGTTTCATCCACACTTTCAGTCTTTTTTCCATTCTGTCTTGTTTTACATGCCCTCAGGCCTGCCAGAAGTGCTTTCCAAGTAACCCAGGAATAGCACTCTACACAATATGGCAGCTATTTGCAAAGCAGTGATAGCAAGCTTCCTTACTAACCAGGGTTTAGTGCTTTAAGTACACAGTGAAAGCAGCT